TAACCCATTTCCCCCATTTCCCGTTTTCCCCGTTTTCCTGTTTCTAACCCGTTTTCCCCGTTTTCCTGTTTCCCCCATTTTCCCTGTTTCTAACCTGTTTCCCCGTTTCTAACCCATTTCCCCCATTTTCCTGTTTCCCTGTTTCTAACCCGTTTTCCCTGTTTTCCCCGTTTCTAACCCGTTCTTCCCCGTTTCCCCCATTTTCCCCTTTCCCTTCCCCGTTTCCCCGTTTCCCCGTTTCCCCGTTTCCCCCATTTTCCCGTTTCTAACCCGTTTCCCCCATTTTCCCCTTCCCCGTTTCCCCGTTTCCCCGTTTCCCCGTTTCCCCCATTTTCCCGTTTCTAACCCGTTTCCCCCATTTCCCCGTTTTTCCCCATTTCCCGTTTTCCCCGTTTCTAACCCGTTTTTCCTGTTTTCCTGTTTCCCCCATTTCCCCTGTTTCCAACCCGTTTCCCCCGTTTCCCCATTTCCCCATTTCCCCGTTTTTCCCGTTTTCCCATTTTCCCCTGTTTCTAACCCGTTTTCCCCGTTTTTCTCGTTTCCCTGTTTCCCCCATTTTCCCTGTTTCCAACCCGTTTTCCCCGTTTCCCCATTTCCCCGTTTTTCCCCATTTCCCGTTTTCCCTGTTTCTAACCCGTTTCTAACCCGTTTTTCCCATTTCCCCGTTTCCCTGTTTTCCTGTTTCCCCATTTTCCCTGTTTCCAACCCATTTTCCCCATTTTCCCATTTTCCCTGTTTCCAACCCGTTTTCCCTGTTTCCCCCATTTTCCCCATTTCTAACCCTTTTCCCCCATTTCCCCATTTCCCCATTTTTCCCCATTTCCCCTTTTCACCATTTCTAACCCGTTTTTCCCCATTTCCCCGTTTTCCTGTTTCCCCCATTTTCCCTGTTTCTAACCCGTTTCCCCCGTTTTTCCTGTTTCCCCCATTTCCCCGTTTTCCCGTTTTCCCCGTTTTCCCCGTTTTTCCCGTTTTCCCCGTTTTTCTCCCCGTTTCCCTTTCCAGGTGCAGCAGGTGCAGGTGTTTGCGGACGTGCAGTGCACCGTCAACGTCGTGGGCGACGCGTTCCTGCCGCCGGCGCCGCCCGCCGCCAAAATCCCGAATTCCCAAATCCCGAACCCCGCGCCCGCCCGGAGCCTCCTGCAGCAGCTGCTCACCGAGTGACCGCAATTCCCAAATTCCCGGATTCCCAAAATCCCAAAATCCCAAATTCCCAAAATCCCGGATTCCCAAATTCCCGAATTCCCAAATCCCCAACCCCGCGCCCGCCCGGAGCCTCCTGCAGCAGCTGCTCACCGAGTGACCGCAATTCCCAAATTCCCAAATTCCCGGATTCCCAAAATCCCGAATTCCCGGATTCCCAAATCCCGAACCCCGCGCCCGCCCGGAGCCTCCTGCAGCAGCTGCTCACCGAGTGACCGCAATTCCCGGATTCCCAAAATCCCGAATCCCCAAAATCCCGAATTCCCGGATTCCCAAATTCCCAGATTCCCGGATTCCCAAAATCCCGAATTCCCAAATCCCGAATCCCGCACTCGCCCGCAGCCTCCTGCAGCAGCTGCTCACCGAGTGACCGCAATTCCCGGATTCCCAAAATCCCAAAATCCCGAATTCCCAAATCCCAAATTCCCGGATTCCCAAATTCCCGAATCCCGAATCCCGCACTCGCCCGCAGCCTCCTGCAGCAGCTGCTCACTGAGTGACCGGAATTCCCGAATTCCCAAAATCCCAAATTCCCAGATTCCCAAAATCCCAAATTCCCGGATTCCCAAAATCCCAAATTCCCAAATCCCGAATCCCACACCCGCCCGGAGCCTCCTGCAGCAGCTGCTCACCGAGTGACCGCAATTCCCGGATTCCCAAAATCCCAAAATCCTGAATTCCCAAATCCCAAAATCCTGAATTCCCAAAATCCCAAATTCCCGGATTCCCAAAATCCCGAATTCCCAAATCCCGAATCCCGCACTCGCCCGGAGCCTCCTGCAGCAGCTGCTCACCGAGTGACCGCAATTCCCAAATTCCCGAATTCCCAAAATCCCGGATTCCCAAAATCCCGAATTCCCAAATCCCGAATCCCGCGCCCGCCCGCAGCCTCCTGCAGCAGCTGCTCACCGAGTGACCGCAATTCCCAAATTCCCAAAATCCCGAATCCCCAAATTCCTGCAGGAAAACAGAGAGAAAATGACCCAGAAATTCCCAAATTCCTGCGGGAAAACAGAGAGAAAATGATCCCGAAATTCTACCGAGTGACCCCGGAATTCCCGAATTCCCAAATTCCCGAATTTCCGAAGTCCTGCGGGAAAAAGGAGAGAGAAAAATGACCCAGAAATTCCCAAATTCCTGCGGGAAAACAGAGAGAAAATGATCCCGAAATTCTACCGAGTGACCCCGGAGTTCCCGAATTCCCAAATTCCTGTGGGAAAACAGAATTTTCCCAAAAATTCCCAATTCCTGTGGGAAAACAGAGAAAATGATCCCGAAATTCTACCAAGTGACCCCAGGGATTTTTGGGAAAAATGTGATTTGAGGATTTTTGGGAAAATGGGATTTTTTGGGAAAAATGGGATTTTGGGAGTGGGGATTTTTGGGGGAAAATGGGATTTTAGGAAAAAATGGGATTTTTTGGGGAGTGGAATTTTGAGAAAAATTGTATTTTTGGGGAAAATGGGATTTTTTGGGAGGGGAATTTTGGGGAAAATGGGATTTTTGTAAAAAATTGTAATTTTGGGGAGGAGATTTTTGGGGAAAATGGGATTTTTGGGGAAATGGGATTTTTGGGAGGAAATTTTTGGGAAAAATGTGATTTTTGGGAAAAAACGGGATTTTGGAGAGGGGCTTTTTGGGAAAAATGGGACTTTTGTAAAAAATGGTATTTTTGGGAGGAGATATTTGGGAAAAATAGGATTTTAGGGAGGGGATTTTTGGAGAAAAATGGCATTTTTGAGAGGGGAATTTTGAGAAAAATGGGATTTTTGGCAAAAATGGGATTTTTTGGGAGGGGATTTTTGGGCAAAGGGGAATTGGGGTTTGCACCGAGGGTTTTCCGTGATCTTTTGGGGATTTTGGGACTTTTTCCCTGGGTTTTTTCCCCTTTTTTCCCCATTTTCCTCCCTTTTCCCCCATTTTTCCCATTTTCCTCCTGTTTTGCCCCATTTTTCCTGTTTTTTCCATCTTTTTCCCCATTTTCCTCCTCTTTTGCTTCAATTTTTCTCCCGTTTCCCTTCCCATTTTTCCATCTTTTCCCCTATTTTCCTTTTTCCCATTTTCCTCCCTTTTCCTCCCATTTTCCTCCCCATTTTTCCTTCTTTTTCTCCCCTTTTCATATTTTTTCTACTTTCCATTTTCCTCCCTTTTCCTCCCATTTTTCCATCTTTTTCCCATTTTCCTCCAGTTTTGCCTCCCTTTTCTTAATTTTCCTCCATTTTTCCTCTTTTTTCTCTGCTTTTCCATCTTTTTCCCCATTTTCCTTTTTCCTTTTTCCCATTTTCCTCCTCTTTTGCCTCCCTTTTTCTCCCCATTTTTTCTATCTTTTTCCCCATTTTCCTCCTATTTTTCCTGTTTTCCTTTTTCCCATTTTCCTCCCTTTTTCTCCCATTTTCCTCCTATTTTTCTCCCCATTTTCCTCTCCTTTTCCTCATTTTTCCCTTTTCCTCATTTTCCTCCCTTTTATTCCCATTTTTTCTCTTTTCCATCTTTTCCCCATTTTCCTCTTTTGCTTCTCTTTCCTCCATTTTCCCTTTTTCTTCTTTTTCCCTTTTCTCTCCTTTTTTTCCCTTTTCCCCCTTTTTTTTCCTGGTTTTCTTCTCACATTTCCCCCTCCATTCCCTCATTTTTCTCCTTTCTCCCCATTTTTTCCTTTTCCTCCTCATTTTTTTCCCATTTTCCACCATTTCCCCCCATAATTTTCCCCCATTTTTTCCCATTTCCCCCCTTTTTTCCCTTTTCCATTTTTCCCTTTTTTCCCCAATTTCTCCCCCATTTTCCCTCTTCCCCCCCCCACTTTTTTCCCCTTTTCCCCCTTTTTTCCCCTTTCCTCCCTCTTTTTTTCCCATTTTTTCCCTTTCCCCCCATTTTTCCCTTTTTTTCCTATTTTTTCCCCAATTTCTCCCCCATTTTCCCCTCCTTTTATCCCATTTCTTCCCTTTTCCCATTTTCCTTTTTTCCTATTTTTCCCTCATTTCTCCCCCATTTTTTCCCATTTTCCCCCTTTTTTCCCTTTCCTCCCTCCTTTTCCCCATTTTTTCCCATTTTCCCATTTTCTCCTTTTTCCCATTTCCCCTTTTTTCCCTTTATTTCCAATTTTTTCCCCAATTTCTCCTCCCGTTTCCCTCCCTTTCCCCCCTGATTTTTTTCCCTTTTTTCTCCATTTCCCCCCATTTTTTCCTCATTTTTCCTCCCTTTTTTCCACCATTCACCCCCATTTTTCTTTCCCCATTTTTCCCATTTTCCCTCTTTTTTTCCTCCCATTTTTCCTCCTATTTTTCCCCTTTTTTCCTCCCATTTTTCCCCTTTTTCCTCCCATTTTTCCCCTTTTTCCTCCCATTTTTCCCCTTTTTCCCCACCAACTCCTCCAGGCCCATCCCAATTTTTAAATTCCCATTCCCAACTCCAAGAATTCCCAGAAAACCCCCCAAAAAAAGAGGAAAATGAGAAGAAAAAGGAGGAGGAGGCTCGGTCTCAGCTGGATCTGACACGGGGCAACAAAAAAACCCAAAAAACCCCCAAAATGGGGAAAAAAACCCAAAAAAACCCAAAAAATGGGAAAAAAAAACCCCAAAAAACCCCAAAAACGGGGAAAAAACCCCAAAAAACGGGGAAAAAACCCAAAATACACAAAAAACCCAAAAAAAACCCCAAAAAACCCCACCAACCAAAAAAATCCCCAAAATTCCCCCAAAAAAAACCCCAAAAAATACCAACAATGGGGAAAAAAACCCAAAAAATGGGGAAAAAAACACAAAAAAACCCCCAAAAACGGGGAAAAACCCCCAAAAACGGGGAAAAAACCCAAAATACACAAAAAACCCAAAAAAACCCACCAACCAAAAAACCAAAAAAATCCCCAAAAACCCCCCCAAAAAAACCCCAAAAAATCCCAAAAAACCCCCACAAAAAAACCCCTAAAAAAATCCCAAAAAAAACCCCCAAAAATCCCAAAAAACCCCCACAAAAAAACCCTAAAAAATCCCAAAACCCACCCAAAGAAACCACAAAAAAAAAAACCCCAAAAAAACCCCCAAAAAATCTCAACAAACCCCCAAAAACCCCAGAATTCTGCAGGAAAATCCCAATTTTTCGTCGCTCCCGCCGAAATTCCCGATTTCCCCCTTTCCCCTGGGCTCGTGCGTACAATCAGCTTTTTCTAGCGAAAAAAAACGTGGAATTTGTCATTTTTTTTTCCAAAAAAAAAGAGGGAAAAGCACCCAAAAAAAGCCAAAAAAAGCAAAAAAAAAGCAAAAAAAAAAAGAATATTTTGCGCCGTTTTTTCCGTGTTTTTTGGGGCTTTTCCCGTCCCGCCGGAATTCCGGAGGGTGAGGAGGGAAAACCTCGTGTACAGTGCAAGAAAAGAGGGAAAAAATGAGAAAAAATGAGAAAAAAGTAAAAAAAAAAAACGGGAAAATTCGCAATAATTTTTAGGGTAAAAAGGGAGGGGGGAGGGGCTCTTGTAGATAAAATTTTGGGTTTTTTGTGAGGGAAAAAATGGAAAAAAAAAGGAAAGAAAAAAAATAATAAAATTGTTCTTTTTTTTCTGCTTGGATTGTGTTTAACAGCTGGAGTAGCTCGGGATATTTAAAAATGATAATTAAGAGTTAATTATTAATTAATAATAATAATAATAAAAGAATAATAATGGAATTGTTTGTCAGGAAAAAGTTTTTTTTTTTTTAATTTTTTTTTGGTGGGGGAAAATGAGGAAAAATAGAAAAAAAAAGGAAAAGTCAGAATTTGAAAGCAAAATTTTGGGAGAATTTGGGGGAATTTGGGGGTGGGAAGGGGAAGGATTTGGGGGGAAAATGGAAAATTTTTATTTTCAAGTGGAATTTTTAATGGATTTTTAAGGAATTTCAGGGTTTGGTTCTTTTACCCTAAAAAAATTTGGGGGAAAAATGGCAAAAAAAAGGGAAAATTCAGAATTTTCAGATTTTCAGCCAAAATTTTGGTGGATTTGGGGGTGGGAAAAAGAAGAATTTGGGGGGGGGAAAATGGAAAATTTTATTTTAAAGTGAAATTTCAAGGAATTTCAGGGTTTGGTTCTTTTGTGCTAAAAAATCTGGGGGGAAATGAGGAAAAAAGGGGAAAAAAAGGGGAAAATTCAGAATTTTCAGCCAAAATTTTGGTGAATTTGGGGGTGGGAAGAGGAAGAATTTGGGGGGAAATGGAAAATTTAATTTTTAAGTGGAATTTTTAAGGAATTTCAGGGTTTTGTTCTTTTATTCTAAAAAGTTTGGGGAAAATGAGTCAAAAAAAGGGAAAATTCAGAATTTTCAGCCAAAATCTTGGTGGATTTGGGGGTGGGAATAGGAAGAATTTGGGGAAAAAATAGAAAATTGAATTTTTAAGTGGAATTTTTAAGGCATTTTGGTGTTTTGTTCTTTTATCCTGAACAATTTTAGGGGAAAATGAGTGGAAAAAGGGAAAACTCAGAATTTGCAGCCAAAATTTTGGTGGTTTTGGGGGAATTTGGGGTGGGCAGAGGAAGAATTTGGGAAAAAAAATGGAGAATTGAATTTTTAAGTGGAATTTTCAAGGAATTTTTGGGTTTTGTTCTTTTTTCTTAAAAAATTTTGGGGAAAAAAAGGGAAAATTCAGAATTTTCCAGACAAAATTTTGTTGGTTATTTTCATTTTTTCTTCCTTTTTTCCCCTTTTTTCCCTTTTTTATTCTTTTCCTCCTTTCCCCCCCTTTTTTCCCCCTCCTCTCATTTTTTCATCTTTTCCTTAATTTTCCCCCCATTTTCCTCCCTGGTTTCCCCATTTTTGCCCCTTTTCCTCATATTTTTACACATTTTTCCCAATTTTCCTTTTTTCTCCATTTTGCCCCCAATTCTGCCCTAAATTTTCCCCCAATTTTCCTCCTTTTTCTCCATTTTGCCCCAAATTTTCCTTTTTTCTCTAATTCCCCCCCAATTTTCCTCCTTTTCCCTTCCTTTTCCCAAATTTTCCTCCTTTTTACCCAATTTTAGTTTTTCCCAATTTTCCTTTCTCTTCCCAATATTTATTTTTCTCCATTTTGCCCCAAATTTTCCTCATTTTCCCCTCCAATTTTCCACCTTTTTTCCCCATTTCCCCCAATTTTCCTCCTTTCTCCGTATTTTTCTCCATTTCCCCCCAATTTTCCTAATTTCCCTCAATTTTCCTCTTTTCTCCCCAATTTTCCTCCCCAATTTTCCCCCAATGTTCCCCTTTCCCCCAAATTTTCCTAATTTTCCCAAATTTTCCTCTTATTGTTCCCAGTTTTGCCCCAAATTTTCCTCATTTTTTACCCCATTTTCCTCTTTTTTCTCCATTTTGCCCCAAATTTTCCTCCTTTCCCCCAATTTTCCTCTTTTTTCTCCATACCCCCAATTTTCCTTCTTTTCCCCCCAATTTTCCCACTTTACCCAAATTTTCCTTTTTCTCCCCATTTTGCCTGAAATTTTCTTCATTTCCCCCATTTTCCTCCTTTTTCTCCCCAATTTTCCTTTTTTCTCCATTTCCCCCCCAATTTCATCCTTTTTTACACTTTTCCTCCCTTTTCTCCCCAATTTTCCTTTTTTCTCCATTTTGCCCCAATTTTCCCCCCTTTTCTCCCCAATTTTCCTTTTTTCTCCATTTTGCCCCAATTTTCCCCCCTTTTCTCCCCAATTTTCCTTATTTTCTCCCCAATTTCCCTTTTTTCTCCATTTTGCCCCAATTTCCATCATTTTTCCCCAACATTCTCCCTTTCCCCCCCAATTTTCCTCCTTTTTCTCCATTCCCCTCCAATTTTCATCATTTTTCTCCAACTTTCCCCATTTTTTCCCCTTTTTTCCCCTCAGACAAACCAAAACCAAAACACTTCCAGCGTTAAAACCACTTTAAATCCACATTATTCCCACCACATCCGCACAGAATTCAATCCCGGTAAAAAACCCACCAAAACCCCAGGTTTTATAGGTTAAAAAAAAACCCAAAAACCTGGGAAAAAAATCCAAATTCATTTGAGGAGTTTGAAATTCCTGAGGTGAGGCTGCACCAGGTTTTTGGGGTACGGGCGGAGCGCCAGGCAGGTGGGAATTCCCTCGGGATTTTCCACCCAAATCTTGTGATCCACGCCTTTTTCCTCCAGCGACTTCGCCAAATCCAGCAGGGAATCCTCATCCGGAGCCTAAAAACCAAAATCAATTAAAAATAAATTAAAAACAAATCAGGAACTCATCCCAAATTCCAATCCCATCCTCCCGTCCCACACCGCAATTTAATATTTTTTTTTTCCCCTCACATTGCTAATTTCCACCTCTTTTTGACTCTCTCCCCAAATTCCTCCTGAAAATCAAATTCCGCCCAAAATTCCCAAATTTCTTCCCGAAATCCTCCAAAATTTCCCCAAAATCTCCTCAAACTCTCCAAATTTCTCCCAAAATTCCCACTGAAAATCCCCCCAAATCCCCAATTTCCCCTCAAAAATCCCAATTCTCCCTCCAAACCCCCAAATTCCCAAAAATTCCCAAGAAATCTTCCCGAAATTCCCCCAATGATCCCCAAAATTTCCAAATTCTCAGAAAAAAATCACCAAAATCTTTCCAAAATCCTCCCAAAATCCCCAAATTCTCCCCCAAATTCCTCCTAGAATTTTACAATTTTCCCCCAATTTCCCAATTCCTCCCCCAAATCCCCTCAAAATTCTGGAATTTTTTCCCAAATTCCCTAAAATTTCCCCCAAAATCCCCAAATCCTCCAAAAAAAATCTCCAATTTTTCCCAAAATTCCCAAATCCCCCCCCCCAAAATCCACAAATTCTCCCCCAAATCCTCAAATTCCTCCCGAAAATTCCCAAATCCCCCCCCTAAAATCACCAAAATTTCCAAATTCTCCCCCAAATTTCTCCTAAAATGCCACAATTTCCCAATTCTTCCCCCAGATCCCCTCAAATTTCTGGAATTTCTTCCAAAATTCCCTAAAATGCTCCCCAAAATCCCCAAATTCTCCCTAAAAGAGAAGATTTATAAAATTAAAACGTAGAAACAGCGATTTTTTTTTTTTTTTAAGGGAATTTTTAAGGTAGGAAAAACCTTTGGGAATCCAAACTCCAAATTGAGTTTTGTCGCTCTAAATCCGCACGGATTTGAAATATTTTCGGGAATTTTGGGGTTTAGGCACTGCGCTGGTAATTCCACGAGGGATTATTCACCATTCCATCGGGAATTATTCCGCATTTTGGGAATTATTCCCAAAATCCAAATTAATTTCCCCAGCAATTGCGGCTCCTCCGCGGGCTCCTCTCAGCGCGCCAAAAATCCCCCCTGACCCCCCTAAAATGACCATTCCCACCTCCCTCAACTCCGGAACACCCCCCCAAAAATCCAGATTTTCCCAAAAAATTCCTATTTTTAAAAAAAAATCCCGATTTTCTCCAAAAAAAATCGCGATTTTCCCCAAAAATCCGATTTTCCGCCGCCCCCCCCAAGATGGCGGCCGCTGTCGTTCCCCCCCCCCTCAGCGCGGCGCTCCCATCATGCCCCGCGCCGCCGCCGCTACCTCCAGCACCACGGTTGTCATGGCGGCGCCCTGCTGCAGGTACGCGCCGGTGTCGGGATGCTCCCGGTAACCGTGCACGGCGGCCAGCGCGGCGTGGCAGCCCTGAGCCACCACGGCACCGAGCGGCCACGAGCGGGGAGGCCGCGCCAGGTCCCCGCGGAGCACCACGTACTGCACCAGCACCGCCGCCATGCTGCCGTACGGAACCGCGCGGGCTGCCGGGAGGAACGGCGAGGGTGAAGCGGGGAGCGCGCCGCCATGTTGGTGTACGGAACGCGGTGATGGCGCACTTCCGGCGGCGCTGAGGCGGGAAAGTCGAGGTGAGCGCGGAGCTCTCAGGGAGGGATTTGGGAGCCCTGAGGGGTTTTGGGGGGTTTTTTTGGGGATAATTTTTTTGGGATCGGTTTTTGGGATCGTTTCTCGGGTTTTTTTTTATGGGATCGTCCCTGTTCCTCTCCTGGGATCGATCCCGTTCCTCGGGGTCGTCGCTGTCGTTTTCCCGCCATTTTTGTCCCCCTCAGGTCCCGCCCGTGCCCAAATTCCCGCTCGGTGCCCTCAGAAAAATTCCAAAAATTGATGGAATTTAATTGGATTTTTTCCTCAAAAAAATTCCCAGATTTATCGAATTTAATTGGATTTTTTCCTCAAGAAAAACCCACAACCCAAATTTATGCAAATTAAAGGGATTTTTTACATCATAAAATAATCTAAAAATTATGGAAATTAAGGGGTTTTTTTCCTCATAAAAAAAATCCCAAATTTATGGAAATTAAAGGGATTTTTTATCTCATAAGATAATCTAAAGATTATAAAAAATAAAGGGTTTTTTTCCTCATAAAATAATCCAAAAAATTATGGAAATTAAAGGGATTTTTAAATCTCATTAAAAAATCCCAAATTTATGGAAATTAAACGGATTTTTTATCTCATAAGATAATCTAAAAATTATAAAAAATAATGGGGTTTTTTCCTCATAAAATAGTCCCAAATTTATGGAAAATAATGGGATTTTTTCCCTCATAAAATAATCCCAAATTTATGGAAATTAAAAGGATTTTTTCCATTCCCATCCCCGTTTTCCTCATAAAAAATTCCCAAAAATAGTGTAAATTAATTGGATTATTTTCCTTTTCCATCCCCGTTTTCCTCATTAAAAAGTCCCCAAATCTATGGAAATTAATGGGATTTTTTTACCTTATAAAAAAATTCCTCAAATTATGGAAATTAAAGGGACTTTTCCTCATTAAAAATAGCTAAATTTATGGAAATTAAAGGGATTTTTACCTCATAAAAATCCCCAACTTTATGGAAATTAAAGGAATTTTTTCCCATTCCCACCCCTTTTTCCTCATTAAAAAAAAAATCCCAAATTTATGAAATGAACGAGATTTTTTCCTCATAAAATAATCCCAAATTTATGGAATTTAACTGATTTTTTTTTCTATTTTCCAGCTGCAAATCCTTGGAATTTTCTGGGAATTCCCAGGGATGGATCCCGGGATAGATTTTGGGAATGAGGAGCAGGAAGAGGAAGAAAAAACTGAATTTGCACAGGGTGAGTTCCCAAAATCCCCAATTTTCCCCCAAAATTCCCCAAATTCTCCCCAAATTCCTCCTGAAAATCTCCAAATTTTCCCCTAAAATTCCCAATTTTTCCTCCAAATCCACAATTTTTCAAATTTCTTTGCAAGGTCTCCCAAAAATTCCCAGTTTTTTCCTCAAATTTGCAAGTTTTTCACAGAATTCCCAAAAAAATCTCTGAATTCTTCCAGATTTTCCCAAATTCTTCCCCAAATTCCCACTAAAATTCCCAAATTTTTCCCCCAAATCCCAAAATTCTTCCTCAAATTCCCAGAACTTCTCTCAAAATCCCCAAATTCTCCCCAAATTCCTCCTGAAAATCAAATTCCTCCCAAAATCCCCAAATTTCTTCCCAAAATCCTCCAAAAATTCCCCAAAATCTACTCAAACTCTCCAAATTCCTCCCAAAATTCCCACTGAAAATCCCCCAAATTCCCAAATTTCTTCCCCAAATCCCCAATTTCCCCTCAAAATTCCCAATTCTTCCCCCAAATTCCCAAAACTTCCCAAAAAATCTTCCCAAAATTCCCCCAATGATCCCCAAAATTTCCAAATTCTCCGAAAAAATCACCAAAATCTTTCCAAAATCCTCCCAAAATCCCCAAATTCTCCCCCAAATTCCCAAATTCCTCCTAGAATTTTACAATTTTCCCCCAATTTCCCAATTCCTCCCCCAAATCCCCTCAAAATTCTGGAATTTTTTCCCAAATTCCCTAAAATTTCCCCCAAAATCCCCAAATCCTCCAAAAAAAATCTCCAATTTTTCCCAAAATTCCCAAATTCTCCCCCAAATCCTCAAATTCCTTCCGAAAATTCCCAAATCTCCCCCCTAAAATCACCAAATTTGGCACAAATTCTCAAAAAAAATCTCCCAAAATTCCCAAAATCCTCCAAAAATTCCCCCAAATCTTCCCCAAAATCCCCAATTTCCCCAAAAAATCTCAAAGTTCTTCTCCAAATCCCCAAATTCCTCCCAAAATCCCCAAATTCTCCCATAATTCCCCAATTTTCCCCCAAATCCTCCCCAAAATCCCCAAATCCCCTCCTAAAATCCCAATTTTTTTCCTAAAAACCTCAAAATCCTCCTCAAAATTCCCCAAAATCCTCCAAAAATTCCCCAAAATCCCTAAAATTCCCAGAATTTTCCCCGAAATCCTCACAAATCCTCCCAGTTTTCCCCCAGAATTCCCAAATTTCCCCAGAATTCCCAATTTTCTCTCTCCAGGAGTCCTGGCCCAGCTGTGGCTGCTGGAGCGCCGCCAGCTCTCCCAAAATCCCCAAATCCTCCAAGAATTCCCCAAAATCTACAAATTCTCCCCAAAAATCCTGAGTTCTTTCCCAAAATCCTCCAAAAATTCTCCAAAATCCTCCCTAAAATCCCCACATTTTCCACAAAATCCCCAAATTCTCTCACAAATCCTCCCCAAATCCCCAAATTCTTCCCAAAATCCCCAATTTTTTCACAAAATCCCCCCAATTTCTCCTAAAATTCCCCCAAAATCCTCCAAAAATTCCCCAAAATCCTCCTCAAAATCCCTAAAAATTCTCTAAATTTTACCCAAATTCCCCCCAAATTCCTCCTGAAAATTCCCCAAAATCCTCCCCAAAAATCCTCAAATTCTCCCAAAAATCTCCAATTTTTTCACTAAATCCTCCCAAATTTCCCCCAAATTCCCCCGAAATCCCCAATTTTTTCCCGAAATCCCCAATTTTTTCCCAAATTTCCCCAAAATTCCCGATTTTCCCTCTCTCTCCAGGAGTCCTGTGTGGCTGCCGGAGCCCCGCCAGCTCTTCCCAAAATCCCCAAATTCCTCCTCAAAATCCCCCAAATCCTCCAAGAATTCCCCCAAAATTTCCCCAAAATCCCCAAATTCTTCCCAAAATCTCTCCAAATTCCCCCGAAATCCCAATTTTTTTCCCAAATTCCCCCAGAATTCCCGGTTTTTCCTCTCTCCAGGAGTGCTGGCCCAGCTGTGGCTGCTGGAGCGCCGCCAGCTCTCCCAAAATCCCCAAATTCCTTCCAAAAATCCCCAAATCTCCCCAAAATCTCCATTTTTTTCCCAAAATCCTCCCAAATTCCCCCCAAATTCCCCCCAAATTCCTCCAGAATTCCCGAATTTCCCCAGAATTCCCGTTTTTTCCTCTCCAGGGGTGCTGGCCCAGCTGTGGCTGCTGGAGCCCCGCCAGCTCTCCCAAAATCCCAAAATTCCTCCTGAAAATCCCCAAAATCTCCCCAAAATCTCCAATTTTTCCCCAAAATCCTCCCAAATTCCCCCGAAATCCCCAATTTTTTCCCGAATTTCCCCAGAATTCCCGATTTTCCTCTCTCCAGGGGTGCTGGCCCAGCTGTGGCTGCTGGAGCCCCGCCAGCTCTCCCAAAATCCCCAAAATCTCCAATTTTTTCCCCAAAATCTCTCCAAATTCCCCCGAAATCCCCAATTTTTTCCCAAATTCCCCCAGAATTCCCGTTTTTTCCTCTCTCCAGGGGTGCTGGCCCAGCTGTGGCTGCTGGAGCGCTGCCAGCTCTCCCAAAATCCCCAAAATCTCCAATTTTTTCCCAAAATCCTCACAAATTCCCCCCAAATTCCTCCAGAATTCCCAAATTCCCCCAGAATTCCCAGTTTTTCCTCCCCAGGAGTCCTGGCCCAGCTGTGGCTGCTGGAGCGCCGCCAAAATCCCCAAATTCCTCCTGAAAATCCCCAAAATCTCCCCAAAATCCCCATTTTTTTCCCAAAATCTTCCCAAATTCCCCCGAAATCTCCAATTTTTTCCCAAATTTCCCCAGAATTCCCGATTTTCCTCTCTCCAGGGGTGCTGGCCCAGCTGTGGCTGCTGGAGCGCCATCAACTCTCCCCAAAATCTCCCCAAAATCTCCATTTTTTTCCCAAAATCCTCCCAAATTCCCCCGAAATCCCCAATTTTTTCCCAAATTTCCCCAGAATTCCCAGTTTTTCCTCTCCAGGAGTCCTGGCCCAGCTGTGGCTGCTGGAGCGCCGCCAAAATCCCCAAATTCTCCCCAAAATCTCCAATTTTTTCCCAAATCCTCCCAAATTCCCCCCAAATTCCCTCCAAATTCCCCCGGAATTCCCGAATCCCCCCAGAATTCCCGTTTTTTCCTCTCCAGGGGTGCTGGCCCAGCTGTGGCTGCTGGAGCCCCACCAGCTCTCCCAAAATCCCCAAATTCCTTCCAAAAATCCCCAAATCTCCCCAAAATCTCCAATTTTTTCCCCAAATTCCCCCCAAATTCCCCCTGAATTCCCGAATTTCCCCAGAATTCCCGTTTTTTCCTCTCCAGGGGTGCTGGCCCAGCTGTGGCTGCTGGAGCCCCGCCAGCTCTCCCAAAATCCCCAATCTTCTCCCAAAATCTCCAATTTTTTCCCAAAATCCTCCCAAATTCCCCCCAAATTCCCTCCAAATTCCCCCGGAATTCCCGAATTTCCCCAGAATTCCCGTTTTTTCCTCTCTCCAGGTGTGCTGGCCCAGCTGTGGCTGCTGGAGCGCCGGGATCGGGGCCGGGCTCTGCGGGACGAGCGCCGGGAGCGGCTCCGGGAGCGCCGGGAGCTGCTCCGGGCCCGGATCCGGGAGCTGCGGCAGCGCCGGGAGCGCCTCCGGGAGCGCCTCC